TAAAACGCGTGGATACATCGCATATTTTGGATATGTTACTCAGGAAATTTTTCTGAATCGCTTTGATAAAAAAAATAGTTGATAAAACCAAACCGATTTGACTTACAGAGGGAAAAGTAAAAGTCATAAATACCAAATTTGCATCATTTAGAGAATTTAATGTTGTTTTCGAGCATGTAATTGGATATTTTTGCCCGACTTTAGTAATTTTCGAAATACGGTAATTTTCGGTTTTTATTAACTTTTCAATTTTCAATTTCTTCTTGTGTAAATTCGCTAAAAAAAATGTTTCTAACAATGGAAATATCACGCCAAACATTGGGAGAAAAGAGAAAATTTATATCCATGTAATTTTTAAGTGCAACCGTTTCTGAGAGTGGAAAGCAGAAAACAAAAATCAACCTAAATACCATCACATTTAAAGACTGGGCACATATTTTTTGCGAGTTCTAGCCGGTGTAGTTATCCAATGTTCCCCATATTTTACATTTAAGATTTTCCAATAAAAGAGAGAGTGCAAAGTAAATTTCATCGAAATCGAATGTGAAATTCAATGTTACCGCCCACAAGAGTGGAGGGCGTGGCAATTATCCCATCTTTATCAAATTTCATAACTATTATTTATACCTGCAAAAAAACTTCTTGCATTACAGCTGTCAGGCAAAGTTCATATCGGGGTAATAAAAAAATATTTCTCATCTAATAACTGTTATGTAGCAACGTTTTTATAATAAAACTTATAATTGTTATGTCCCTGATTTGATCCGTAACCACCCGATGATCGCCACAGACAACAGTAAGCAACGCATAGGAACTATTGTTCATGAAGCAAGTCTCAACCTATGCTCCTTTAATTCAGTATTCTCTGCATCACACACATTTTGTGTGCGGTGTCACAAGTTTATTTGATCAAGTTATCCGTGCTTGCCGCGAAAAAGCTTCATTTAAAAAATAAATGCCCCAGCATGAATGCCTATAAAACTAAAAACATGTTCGTGCATGCAGTAACGCAAAGAAAAAAGTTTCGTATACAAATGGAGCCTTAAAAAAAAAAAAAAAAATGTTTAAAATATTTTCACAAAAAATCGCTTTGTTGTTGCACCTGATGCGTTAATTGGAAAATCTTGTTTGTGGCGCATTTTCAGTGGCAGGAATATTATATTATGAATTGGACGGTGTATGTGTGCGTGTTTGTAGATTTTTATTTTTTGTGCGTATTTAGTTTATGATCAGCTATAAAATCGACGCGACTATTGAGTGGCGGCCGACATAAAATGGCTAAAAGCATATTTAAAAAGTTTTAAAATGTGAATGCTTACAAAACTTCGATTTTGTACAGTTCTACAGGGCGAGGAGGAGTTTTGCATTCATAACACACATACAGTGAGGAGCAAATTTTTTCATAATTGCGCTTATTTGTTTTAGCGGAGCTTCTTTATGAATGTAAACTTTTTTTCTTTATCAAAATAAACTTTTAAAATAGCCAAAAATTTTTCTGAATGGTTGTAAACTTTTTTTGTAGTTGTTATTAATTTCGTGTTTTGTTTTTTTAAAGTCGTAATTTTCTATGAAGTGATAGTAAATGTGTTCATTTTAGTACCGCAACGAAGTATGTACATGTAGTAGGGTGTTCCAAAAATGCATAGTAAAATTAAATAAAATAATTTTTTTTTTGTTTTGATTCAAATTTTAGATATGCCGTTTTATAGACCATTAAATTTTAATATAATAAAGTGCAAGGTGCAAGTGGCTAAAAGTTCTCGTTGATTTTTAATAATACATATAACAAATGCTTTTAGCGAAAAAAATTATCAAAAATCAACCCGATCTCTTAGCCACTTGCAAATTGCATTTATCATACTAAAATTTAATGATCTATTAAACTGCATACCCAACCTTTTTTAGAAACTAAAAAATTTTTTATTTTTATTTTGGTGAAATTTTTTTTTAAACATTCCATATTTTTTTTTGTGAATTTTTTCCTCGTTTCCGGGGAACCCTACTCGTTCAACTCGTTTTTATTATGTAACATTTATAACCTGGAACAGGAGAATCGATTTTCTTCAAAATTGCTACTTTTTCTGCACTTTGCGAAAAAAAAAATGAATAAAAACAAACAAAAATTTGAAAATCGGTCTCTTGAAAATTTTATTAGCTTTCATTTAAAAAAAAAACTGACAATCAAATTGAGTGAAAAATGAAGGCTTCAGCGAATTGTGAACACTAAATGCCAATTTTGAACCACTGTGCGCTGGGCTTTGATGTTCCTCACATATTTTAAAAGTGGAAAATATTTTTTCTTTGCTATAAAATCGTTAAAAATTAATATTTTTCCATCGAATAAGAATATTTGCCTTCAGAAATCTTCAAAATAATATAATACATATTTTGGTCGTCTTATTATAATTTATACGTTGATTCTGAGCTCCAGTCGATTGGAAAAAACCCAATAATTCCTGAAGATGTCTTCGAAATATCGACATCAATAAATGTAAATTTAAGTTAAACAACGTATAAAGTACATATTTAACTTTAGAATTTTACTAAATATTTTTTAATAACGTGCGTGAAGTGGTTACGAACACATAAAATAACACATTTATGCATATAAGAAATAAAATTATCGGTTATGAAGACATACTTAGTTGGTACAATTCGAAAGCTAAATATGTAACATTATTTAAATTTTTTGCAGATTTATAAACGGAATTGTTTTAATTGGAGCAAAAATATTCTTTCACAAAAAAATTTATTTTTTTCCATGTAAAATATATGGAAACTTCAAATTACCGGCGCCACGGTTAAATAATAACCGATTTCAAATTAAAAAATTCGGGTCTGGTTAATGTTGATGTTCCTCAGTTGTTCGTGTGGCTGAAAAAAAAAAAAAATTTGGAGCACACTTACCTACCTATTAAAAGATATCTTCTTTATAAAAAATGTATCATAAAAAGTTAGTAAATCGAAGCCCATACATACATATGTATGTACATAAAAGATCAGTGGCTTCCAAGAGCTTTATGAAAATTCCGCTTGTGATTTTCGATCTCATAAAAAGTACATTATTTTTATTCTTCACAATAAAGCCATACATTTCATATCAATCAAAAGGGGAGCATTAATAAATTACTAAAAAGCTTCCACTTTAAGGATCTCCCTTGATCCTCTTCAATATTGACTGCTGTAAAGCGTTTTTCGCTTTCCTGTTTATCATGATATTCGCCAATCTGTGTTAATTGGTTGGCTAGGCAATTGACCACAACTGCGTGATTCACTTAACGCTATAATGTTGGTATTGACCGACAACAAAAAAAAAAAATTGATTAACACGTGATGTGTGTAGTTATAAGCTGTTTGCTATAAAGCGGTGCGTAAAAAATTTGAGTGCTGATGACCTTGGGTTAATTAAAAATAACAATATTTTTTTTCGAATAAATTATAATAAAGTATCGCTTTTGTCTTTTAAATTTTAATAAAAATTACTTTTTTTTTTTTTAATTTTAATTTTCTAGGTTTCCTGTTAATTAGTTTTATTTTGTTTATTTTTTTTTTTTACATTAGAAAACTGGGTTTATACTTACTTTGGGATCTGTTTTCGCTTTTGTTGTAAAACGATGCACACGCCAGACTTTACTGAACATTGCACCATAGGCTAATGTAAAACCGGTGGTTAAAAGCCAAGCGCGCGCTTGACATATCTGTGAAGGAAGAGTTGTGAAATTTTGAGTAAATATAGAGGGAAGTACAAAAAAAAAACACACACACAGATTTTTTAACTAAGTATAACTTATGCTATGAAAGCTTTAATTAACTTAAGGATAATTAAATTTTTTTTGGGTATACTTAGGACTAGAAAATCTTTTGGTGCACGACTGCTTTATGTAAAGGGCTATTTGAATAGTTACATTTACCCAAAGTTTCTGTGTTTAAAGTTTTTTTATGAGAGTTAATTGCAATCGTATTGTCGAAATTGGGCTGAAAAATCCAGCTACGAAAAGGTGGAAATATTTCGAAAGCTGTGGCCTCTGAAAATCAACCGAAATTGTATGTGTTGTACCGTGGAGTTATTCCAGGAGATTGGTAGAATAGTCTAGGGAGAAGGGGGGGGAGGGGGGGGGGGGGGATTTGGTCGTCCCCCAACTGTGCGAACACCAAAAGTACGGGAAATTTATGTTAGCAAGAACAGCTGTCATCATGACATTCGTCCGATGATTGGCCATCTGGTGTCCGGAATTTAATCGATTGGACTATAAATTATGGTTCATTAAAGTCTCGAGTTTTTGAAGCGCGCCTTAGTCCGAGTAGTGAAAAATTTTCCATTGCATGGGTTGCGTATTGCAATCGATTCGTGGCCAAGCCAACTTCGCCGCTGCCGGATAGCAAATGGAGGCCATTTCGAGTATGGTGTCATACAATCTTTCAATCTGTAGCTATTGGGTTATACAGTTAATAGAAAAAAAAGTTCTGAAAAATATTTACTCGTTTTAATTGTTTAATGTTTTGAATATCGAGGGCTTATAATCAATACCCTCCATCTGCACTTTTCACAAAAATGAGATCCTGATATAAAAATCCACCCAAGACTTAACTGTCATCGGTGATATTAATGCTGACCTAGCATAACGCTTGTCAGAAGAATTGACTAGTAAATTGCAAAGTCAGAATTAGCATCAGTGATGCCAGGTAAGGCCTAACTAAATGGGTTCTAACATCATAAAATCGTTTCTGTGAAAATTGCAGATAGAGGGCAGTGAATATAAGCTCTCGATATGCCGGATTTTGCATAGTTGCCGCCCCCACCAGACGCCATTTAAAGCAGACACATTTTAAAAAGCTAATGGTTATGCTGTATAACTTATACCTAACATTTCGCCATTTATCAGATAGTCCAACCGAAGGCTATTCGTAAGTGACAATATCTAAGTTATATTATGGTATTGGATTTTCTTAATCTAAATAAAATTTATAGCGAACAATTTTGCAATGCTTGAGTAACTCACCTTTGGGTACTCCTCAGGACTCACAAATCGCCCGTCCATACCCAAGAGTATGACTGATACGAGACAAGTGATGACACCAAATAGCATTATGGTATTACATACAGGATGCGATGATTGTATTACTCTGTAAAGAAATGTATGAAGAAGCAATTAGTAGAGTATACATAAAAGTGAAGAATTTAAATATAGGAACATTTTCTAAAATCTATTTGAAATACTAGATTAGATTAGATTAGATTTAGAGCAGGGAGTAGGTCACTTAGTTACACTCAGAAAAAAGTCAGCCAAATATATTTCTACTAACACATGATTTGGTAACTATAACCAAATAATGTGACTATAACTAAATCATGTGTTGAGAAAAACATATTTAGTTGACGTAACTAAACTCTTTTCTCAGTGTACCGCGACCGAAAAAGAAACCTGGCGAAGTCTAGGAGAACTTTCTGGGTTGCATGCCGTAAATTCCTGCTCCGACGCCGTGGTCAGACCTGGAGCTGCCAGTATACCAGATGTGGCTGTCGTTCCGGGGTTTTAGGTAGTTTCTTGTCATAATTTTTCCTTTTGGGGAAAAAGACCTTGAATTTTTGTGTGAAATTAAATCTCGGAAGGCACAGGTCCAAAAAGCTTATGCTCAGTCCATCTTCTTGTTCTATAACCTTGAGGATGTACGGGTGTATGAACTTCTTGTCCTCTACACTGTTCCCTGAGATGAGCATTGCTGTTAATAGTAGAGCCTCTTTTTTGACTACAATGTGTAGCGGAGGCAGGTCAAAAAGCATTTCCAGAGTCGCAGCTGGTGCTGTTCTCAACGAGCCGGTGATGCCCACGCAGGCCAGTCGTTGTAGTTTTCTGAGCTTGTCCTGCGTGGACTTCACTTCCGCCTTCCTCCACCAAACGGGGGCGGCATAAGTCAGACATGGTTTCTAGATGACATCATATATTAATCTTGCCAGGAACACCTCAGTTCCATCCCATAAGTTTACGGCTGGTCGAGATAGAGGCCCGGGCGTTTTAAATAGTTTTATCGAGGTGCGGATTCCATGAAAGCTTGTAATTAAGGATAACTTCTTGATATTTGACTTCTTTGGAGAAGTGTATCTTTTTACCGTGAAGGAATGGTTTCAGTAATTTGTCCTTTTTGCTTTTCCTGGACAAATATGTTCAGAGCATTCTGTAGCAGGTTGGAGATAATGTCTTCGGACCTGCTTCTGATTACGAGGACAACGTCATTCGCATAGCCCTGAAAGTCGAAGCCGTTTTCGCTAAGATCGCAGAGTGATTCGTCTGCTACGATGGACCATAGCACAGGGGAGATCACTTCCCCCTGCGGGCAGCCTTTCGTAGCTAAGAATCTGGCCCTTTCCTGTCCTAGAGTGCATGTAATGGGTTCTGGCTTTAAGGCCGTTTGCTATCCAGCGGCATTTGATTTCATCAAACCCTCTGTGCCGGACGCAATTGTCTATTAGAGAGTGTTCCATGTTGTCGAAAGCTGCTCTAGTTGAAATACTATGTATGTTCCAGTTACTTCAAAAGCTTTTATCGGCCTCTGACTGGCTATAAGTCAGCATCAAGAAATCTAAATTTTCTTTAAAGCCTTGAACAATGCTCATCTTTTAAAAATGCAGAGTTATAGAAATCGCGATGCAGTGCAATTTTAGAAAATTTATACCTTTCTGGATCTTTTCCCTTTGAAGGAACTTCACCTATTGAATCTTATGTTAAAAAATGGTTATCTTTTCCTTAAAATTGTTGCTGAAAAACAACGTGAAAGTGCAGAATATAAAGTAAATCCTTACCAAGGATTGAAGTTCTCACAACTCAACACATTGCTTTTTATTAAAATATCGCATTAACTTTGAAAAATTGCAAATATGTCCCATGTAATGAGCTTACTGCAAGCACCACTACATCTACAACAACACCAATGAATACCTACCACCAATGTGAGTCTAGAAAATAAACTGGCCGCATTCAGCAAACAGGTAAAAGTAGATAATAATCATAAAAAAGAACCAAGGAGTACAACCTAATAACAGTAACAGCAACAGGCAATAATAAATTGAGTGAAGAGGGAAGTGTTGCTGCTATAAAGGAGCTTAGTAAGGCCATTGCCAACACACATTTGTGAGCAGAGAGCAAAAAAAA